GGTTATATTGGCCGACCCTAGACCCTCTACTATAAGCACTACTAGGTTCCTTTCCGATTGAACAGCCCCTACCACCACTACTAATCACCCCACCGCAGGAGTAAGAGAGGTATACTAGCTCTAGTTAGGGGGTGGATACCGAGGGAGATTAAAGGGACTAGATCCAGCAAGAAGAAGCGGATCTTAAAACCACTGAAGACGAACTAGAGAAGTAACTTTAGGTAGAGCTACTGGCTCCGAGAAGAGAGATAATCGGAGATATAGATACCAGCAATATACTCAGTAGTAGGCGTAGACGCTAAGTAAGGTAGGAAAAAGACTTCGCCTACGCGATAAGCACTACCTAAGAAGTGGAACCGCCGGCGCTACTCTATACTTTTACCGCTGGCTTATACGCTAAGAAACCAGACACTCGCCGCTACCGAGATAACCTCCCACCACCGCTAAAATACTGGAAGGATATAATAAACTACCTATTTCAGGAAGGTTTTCTCGCAGCGATAAGGAAGGAGATTAACTCCCTCTCTAAAAAGGGGACTTTTAAGGTTATTAAGAAACCAAGAGACCGAGGGAAGCAGATTCTCCCTCTTTTATAGGTGTTCTTATACAAATTTGACTAGGATAGGTACCTTTTAAAGCTTAAGGCCCGTATCTGTATACACAGAGACCTTAAAACTATCTCTTACGAGGAAAAGAGAGCTGCTACGCTAGCAGTAAGGACAGCGAGGATGATTTTTACCTTAGTTACTGCCTTTGATCTTGACCTAAGACAGAGAGATACTGTCACCGCGTTCCTAAACAGTAAGTTAGACTAAGAGATATATATATATATACCTAAGGGATTTCAAAACCTAGGTAAATACTGGAAGTTACGTCGCGCGCTATACAGTCTACGGATTTCACCACAACTTTAGCAGTAAGAAGCAGTAAGCGTGCTCCGTAAGCTAGGTCTACAGTAAGTACCAGAAGACCTATACATTTTTATAGGAAAAGGACTACTAGTTTTCTTCTATATAGATAATATCCTAATCGCTAGTTATACTAATACAAAGGCGTAGGTATAGCAATTAGAGCGAGATCTCGAAGTACACTAGGAACTGACCGATTATAGAGAAGCAGTATAGTTCCTAAATATACGAATCATTCGAGACCGGTAACAAAAGAAGCTCTAGTTATATCAAGATAGCTATATAATAAGCATTGCTACCCGATATCACTTGACAGAAAGGGTACCAGTCTATACTCCACTGCCGGTTAAGGAATTGACCCCTTTTTAGGGGGTAGTAACGCTAAAGGAAATCCTACTATACCAGCAAAAGGTGGGCTTAGCAGGGTATACCACTATTATCACTAGGCCCGACGCTGCAAAGGCGACCGCGAAGCTCGCGCAATTTCTTACGAACCCCGGTCTACAGCACCAGTAAGCAGCTGATCGAGTTATCACCTACCTCTACTCCACCCGGAACCTAGCGATTGAGTACAGAACAGCCAATACTAGGACCGACTCGGTGCAGTTTATAAGTGACGCTTCGTATAGAGACCACCCGGATAGAAAAAGCTCAGCTGGGTATATCTGTTAAGTATACGGCGGTCTAATTGACTGGAAAGTAAGTAAGCAACCTACAGTGACAACGTTAACTATAGAAGCAGAGCTACTCGGCCTATCGGAGGTAGGAAAGCAGCTCTAATAGTAGCGCCGATTACTTCAAAACCTCGCCTTTACTCCGTCACACCACCTAACAATCGACTGTGATAACGAGAGGACTATCAGCTTATTGACAAGCGAGGATACAGCTTTTGAAACGAAGCTTCGATATATCGATATTCACCACCATTGGCTCCGCTAGGAAGTCCAATAGGGTCGAATACGGGTGCGCTGGGTACCTACAGCAAGCATGGTTACTGATGGCCTCACCAAATTGCTCACTCGGCAAAAGTATAAGAGCTTCGTGCGACTGCTCAATATAGTTGATATAGGCCATCTTATAGACTAGGAATTACAAGATGATACAGCGATCTCAGCAAGCATACTAGGACCGCTGAGGGGGTGTGTCGGCGCAGATACACCAGGATACCGGAGGATTTATTAATCCTAAGTATACAGTAATATTTCTTATGTAATCAGGACAGTATAAATTGCCAGGAAGTCAATACAGCAATACGGAGAGTTGAAGACCATTGATTGGACCCATACATTTCCACCATACGGAGTAGTCTAACAGGGAATTGATGCCTGAGTGCCTTATTTAGCACCGCTTTTTACGCCGCTCTATACAGTGTATAGTAAATTTATTAATACTACAGCTGTCAAAAATGAAGCTTTTCATCTCATACAAATCGTAGTATCTCCATATTTTTGGACAGGATAAGGGTACTATGATTACTAGTACGGAGTAAGGCTGTTGTAATAGAAATTCAGGTATTATAATTTTTTTACCGTTCCAAAGTCAGGCATTCAGGCATCAAGCCATCTATAAAGATGTTTTGAACCCTGAGTCCTATATGGCTTCGTATGTCGCGTTGTTTCCCGCGATTCTGATTCGCTAGATCTTATACTTCGCGCATCGATGTTTTTTGAGATCTTACAAAATGTATTCTGCTTCGGCTCAGATTTTTGCCTTTCATTCGGCACTCGGTGAAAACGCGTTACATATATATACGGAGCCCATCAAATCTCTCCGGTGTGCCGATCCCAACAATCTCAACGGTCTCAACGGGTCTGCATGAACCTCAACTCAGTAGATAGTTATCCGAGCTATGCCCTGCATAGTATGAGATTAGATTCCTCGATCTATTTCAGAAAAGCCTTAGAAGAAACAAGCAGTTTTAAATCCGGGTGGGCCCCGGCAGAAGAGCACTATGCACAGTTAACGCCGAGGCAAGCCGCGAGCCGAGAGTGCGGAGAAACAGCTTTAAGTACTTTGCTCGTGCCCACTCCTGCCATCTTTCACCTGATCCTTTTTGAGCCTCCATTTTCCCATCGGCTTGGCTTTATTTCCCCACAATGCCCGTCCCCTCCAACTACCCTCTGGTTGACATACCAGACGTGGACCTCTGGACCTTTCTATTTGAGCGCAAGGATAGAGCTTACCCAGATGATAAGAGTGCGTGATATCCAATGAGAACCCCAATGCTGCGCTGTTGATCACCGCTTTTCTCTCGAGTTTTCTTAAAACTGACCCCCACCAGTTCTCTACCAAGATGCTGATACTCAACGCCATTACACATACCAAACACTGCGCGATGCCTCGTTAGATTTTGGTAAGGGCTTGAAAGCCCTATATGAGTGGCGCAAGGCCGATGTACTGGCCCTCTTCACGCCAAATAGCATTGACATGCCTGTGGTAGTATGGGGCACACTTTGGGCTGGCGGAATTCTCTCGCCTGCGAACCCAGGTTACACGGTTGACGAGCTGGCCTTCCAGCTCAAGAACTCCGGTGCCAAGGGACTTGTAACACAAGCCTCGTTGTTACCTGTTGCAAAGGAAGCTGCGAAGAGAGTCGGTATGTCCGAGGACCGCATTATTCTGATTGGGGACCAACGGGACCCAAATGCGCGGATCAAGCATTTCACCTCAGTGCGCAATATCTCTGGTGCTACCCGCTACCGTAAGCAGAAAGTCAATCCTGCGAAAGATGTAGCGTTTTTGGTTTATTCGTCTGGGACTACGGGTGTGCCTAAGGGTGTCATGCTGTCGCATCGGAATATCGTTGCCAATATTAGACAGCAGTTTATTGGCGAGGGTGGAATGTTGAGTTGGGATGGTGGTCATGATGGAAAGGGTGATCGGGTCCTCGCATTTTTGCCGTTCTATCATATCTATGGTATGGCTTTCAATCGCGCAGATGCTCAGATGAACAATATACTGACTACGAGCCTCTAGGATTGACCTGCTTAATTACTCAGGCTTTGTACAAGGGTTATCATTTGATTGTCATGTCGAAATTCGACATTGAAAAGTGGTGCGCCCACGTGCAGAACTACCGCTGCACGTTCAGTTACATCGTCCCTCCTGTGGTGCTATTGCTAGGCAAGCACCCAGTGGTCGACAAATATGACCTTTCAAGTCTTCGCATGATGAACTCCGGCGCTGCACCGCTCACACAAGAGTTGGTAGAGGCGGTTTACTCCCGCATCAAGGTTGGCATCAAGCAGGGCTACGGACTCAGCGAGACTAGTCCAACTACACACTCCCAGCGCTGGGAGGACTGGCGCGAGGCCATTGGTTCCGTTGGCCGCTTGATGCCTAATATGGAAGCCAAGTATATGACTATGCCTGAGGATGGATCTGAACCTAAGGAGGTTGCCGTGGGCCAGGTTGGCGAATTGTACGTGAAGGGACCTAACGTTTTCCTGGGCTATCACGAGAACCCAGAGGCTACTAGGGGCTGTTTGTCCGAGGACGGGTGGTTCCAGACTGGTGACGTTGGGTACCAGGACGCTAAGGGTAATTTCTACATTACCGATCGCGTTAAGGAGCTTATCAAGTATAAGGGTTTCCAGGTGCCTCCTGCTGAGCTGGAAGGATATCTGGTTGACAACGGTGCTATCGATGATGTTGCTGTCATCGGTATTGAGAGTGAGACACACGGTTCCGAGGTTCCCATGGCTTGTGTCGTTCGCAGCGCGACGAGCAAGTCCTCTGGAATAAGCGAGAAGGATGAAGCAGCAAGAATCATCAAATGGTTGGATAGCAAGGTCGCCAGCCACAAGCGTCTGCGTGGTGGTGTGCAGTTTGTGGATGAGATCCCCAAGAATCCCAGTGGGAAGATCCTACGTCGGATTCTGAAGCAGAAGTTCAAGGGGGTGACTGAGGCACCCAAAGCCAAGCTATAAATGGGGTTTGTTAGATAGGCACACAACATACACTTTAGATCTATTCATTTCCATACTTGAATGTGTTAGACCCGAAAGTATCTCGTGGACTCTGTGCCATATCCAACCCCAAGTCCTTTTCTCGTATAGTAACTAGAGATTCGAGCCCTGACCCAATAGCACTTTAAGGGAAAAACCTCTTGATCATAGCCTCAACATCCTCCCCAGCAACAGCATCAACCTTTTCCCTCGCAACCCTCCCAACAGCCTCCTCAACTACCTCCTCCCCATTAACAAGATCAATCCATCCCTCCGTATCAGCCCTAGCAAGCAACTGATCTGCTACAATAGCCACATCCTCCCGAGTAACACTTCCCCGAGCCTTAGGCGTGATTCCCAGATCGACCTTCCGCGTTGCAGGCTGGTCAGTCAGAATCCCAGGCCGCAGGTTAATAGCCTGGAAAGGTGGTGCTGATCCAGGCGCGCGCTTACGCTGCGCAGCCAGTGCTGTCATGTACTCGTCGGCCTCTAGCTTGGCTTTTGCGTACGTTGGAAGTACCTCAGTGTTGGTCTTTACCATTCCCGCCCATTCCTCGCTGGGCATCCAGCTCGGCTGGTTGCGTCGACTACCGAGGTATGATACCATGAGGAATTTACTAATGCCTGGTGCGGCGAAGGATGCGGTCATGAAGTGCTTCGCTGCTTCTTGGTCGATCGCGATTGTGCGTGCTGGCCCGCCTTTACCGCCGGCGCCTGTGTTTCGATGTTAGTTTGTGATTTGGGGATTTGGAGATTTTGCAGGGTGGGCTATAGAGGTCTATGGTTTATCTTTTCTTGTTCGGGGATGGTTTATATCGCGTGTGTTGTGTGTTGGTATGCCCATATAACGAATCTAAGTGGGTGCGGGGTGAGGGGTGAGGGGTGCCATACCAGCCGACCAGACGACATAGTCCGGCGTAACCGTGTCGATGATCTTTTGGGCGTCTGAGGGACTCTTCACATCCTCGAGACTTGAAAGTAACACATTGACAGTGCCCTTGAGGCCATGACCCAGATCTAGGATCTCACTTTCGTGCTCGGGGTTGCGGATGACGCTGGTTACGCTCCAGCCTCGGTTGAGCAGGAGCGGAGTAAGGTGGAGGGCGACTTTGCCGTGACCACCGAGTAGAAGAACACGCATTTTGGATATGTATGATTTGGGTATAGCTTTGAGTGTGTATGAAAAAAAGATACACATGGGAGGGTTATTCTGTGATTATTAGTTGATTGGGGAAAGGAAATGTTGTTGCGTCATCGGAATAGATTCCTCCAAACGGCGAGCTTGGCGTTGATTTATAATTGCAAACAATACCTAAGATTGTAGATAGAAATTGAACCCATGACTTAAAATTGCGCTAATTACAGGTGTATTTTACAGTATAGTTATCATAAGCTAACATTAGGTAGCTAGAACCAGTTGTATTTAAACTACCTATGGATGACTGTAAGTACAATGACGGCCAAAAGACGAAATGCGATTAACAATATATTTCACCTCGTCATCCCCTAGGTCATCTAGTCAAATTTGTCTTGAAGATGGCCCGGTTTTCAACTGGTTAGTGTTATACTAACTATCTATTGATCACTACTTGACCCCCAACAATCTAGCAAGAAGCACCAGTAGGCACATTCTCGCATTTACTGCTAGTCTTACCACCACTGACAGAGTTTCCAGACCAGGTCCAGTCAGAGCAGCTACCCTCGCCGCAAAGAATGAGGATATTAGTAGCACTGCTCTCAACAGTGCCGGTAACCTTCTTAACAGTTAGGCCGGTGATGGGGACACCAGTAGTGGGTTCACCGGTAGGGCTGCCGTTCTCGTAATCCTGCTCGATAACGATACCGTAGGAAGTGATCTTGGACAACTCGATGTTGGAGAAGGTCACATCGGCGACTGAACCGGTAGCCCCAGAGACGGTCTTGATGCGCACGCCGTTGGCGGAGTTGGTTACGGTCGAGTCGGAGATGGTCACATTCTTCACGTCGTTGTCGTCACGTCCGCCAACGGAACCGATGGAGATACCGTGGCCGCCAGAGCAATATCCGCCGGTGAACACGATGTTCTGGGGAGACAATGGGGTTAATTGATTTGTTTGTTAGGATAGAAGTCTTCTTTGGTTTGCTTACCTCGCCAGAGTTGACAGCTAGGCAGTCGTCCTGGTTCTTGATGTTGGCGTTGCTGATGGTGATGTAGGTACTCTCGCCAACGTCGAATGCATCGGTGTTGTGGCCGCCGTTGGCATCACCGTCTGAGTTATCGATAGTGATGCTGTCGAGGACCAGGTTGTCGGCCTGGACACTGAAAGCCTGGACGGGGGTATTCTTGACGTTCAGGCCGGTGATGGAGGAGTCTTCCATGGAGTGGGCATAGAAGAACTTGGGCTTGGTCTTTCCACCGTTTGTTCCCTTGGTATCCCACCATCTGGCTCCATCGGCGTTGATAACATGGCCTTCTTCACCAGTGATTTCAATGTTTGAGCCGGAGAAGCGGATGAGGGGACCCTTCCACTCTTCATATCCGAAGGTAGTTGCACCCTTGAAGATGACCTATACAGTGGCGATTAGATCTTCAGTTCTTGGTGCTTGGATAATAGATATATCTACCTTTGTACCATCCTTCAGGCTGGAAAGGTCGAGAGTCTCACCAGCAGGAACCTCAATGTTGTCCAAGACGATGGTGGAACAGGACTTCTTGCTAGCGCTGGCGCTGGCGGCCGAGGTAAAGGTACAGGTCGCGGATGACCGCTCAACGAGCTCGGAAACACGAGAAGGAGCTGGGGCAGCGGACACAACGGCGGCGCCGAGGGCCAGCATTGACACGAAAGATGTACGCATATTGAAGCAAATGTCCGATCAACAGACAAGTAAAGAGAGTATATATGTTCAGCACTAGCTAGTTGGATGGAAGAGGAGATGAGGAAAGAATGAATGAGTTTGAATAAGCTATTCCATCGACCTTGGCCTTGATATTTAAATGCTTGATCTACACCGTAGCCTCCTACGCTAGTATCCTTATGAAACGGGACCCTCACCAGCTGCCACGATTGTTGACCCCTGTTCTCAGTCGGAGGGCTCGTTGGATCAAGTCAGGAGGTCCAGAGCTACATTGAATTAATCTATTAGGGTTAGCCACCCCCAAGTTGACAATTCTCCGAAATTTGTAGATCCACCAATCTACAGCCCTGTCGAAACGAAGCCGGAATAATTAATACTCGGAATATCATCGGGTAAATGGACCGAGACATGTTTGTTTCAGTCTGGAGTGAACTAGTGATTGTCCAATTGGGACACGGAACTGATATTTGCAGACAATATTGTGATTATGTTACGCTTACGCGCCGTTGAAAGCCTTGTGGAGCCCCGTCAAGCTTGTGTTTCACGCCAAACACTTAATTTTACGAATTTCTCGGTTTAGGGCTCAAAATAATATATGTAGACCCATTAAAGATTTTGTGGCGCTGAAACCAAAATCCACTCTGTTTAACATGTGGTGTTTTTGTTGATAGCTGTCCTATGTTGTATGCCCATGGATATGAAAAACGCATTAAATGCATTATAAATTCAGATGCCTAACTAAACCTTGTCTCCAGGTGGTATTATCTACATTACCCCTAAGCTGAGCGTGTGATCATGCATACGTATTCTATCCAGGCACATCGCACTTGATTATTATAGGCGGAAAATACTTTTTCTTTGCGATGAGGTAACAATGCGATGGTTGCTTTCGGGAATTGCTCCTTACTCCTTACATCCAGGCCCGTACGGATATTCCCCGCTTTAGTTTACGTAGTAGAACCAACATGGGAGCTTGTGACTCTCTAGGGCTACTGCAATCGATTTGATATAAACTATTAGAACAACCAAGAAAGCGAGACAGTCCTGTCATGGTTCGCTTCGGAGATTTATGCATTACAAGGTTGATCTTGATAGAAACCAGTAGACCTTGATACTTTCAACAAGTTTGGCAAAACTGCAATATGTGAAATCTTGCAGTTGCGGAGGATTTCTTACAGGGTCCATGGTTGTGATGCGATCTGGAATTGCTTTAGCTGCGAAGAACCCAGTATGGACGCTCGAGAGTTGTCAAACAATATAGGCCACGGGAATAGCACTGCAACTATTTTCGTCTATTTTCTTTTATTTTTCCCCTTTCTAAGGGTTAATACTACATAGAATATTCAAAAGGCGCGGTAAAAACTTCTGTGATACAGGCCTAGTACAATTTACTATAAGGCAATACCATAAAATGTCTAGAAACTACAACCATCTTCTGCTTATCAAGTCATTTCACGATCAGTCGTCGCGATATGTTCAGAAGCATACAATGGAGAAAGGTGTTGATCTAGACTAGATCTAACTATGGGGATCAAGCATCATCCGCTTGACATCACCTGGGCATCACTTGTCTAGTCTATAATCCATCTACGTCATCCCTTGCTCTTCTTGTATCCCCTATATCTTGAACACCCAGTTTAATGGTTAATAAATAGCAACGATGATTATCCCAGATTTTAAAATACCAAATATCCACCCTAAATCACCTTGAATTCATGATGATCAGGTCGGTCCAAGCTGCTCCGCGCTTGGATTCGCGGGGATACCCAACTGTTCAAGTTGATCTCACTACAGATAGAGGTAAGAGAGCACCAATAATCAATGAACTCGCTTCTTACACTGATGTAGGTGTCTTTCGAGCTATCGTTCCTTCTGGTGCATCCACAGGTGCGAATGAAGCCATTGAGCTGCGAGATGGAGGTGTTTCTGCATATGGCGGCAAGGACGTCCAGAAAGCTATTTCGAACGTCAGACTGGTCATTGGTCCTGCTCTAGTAGATAGTGGGCTTAAGGTTGATACCGAACAGAAAATGATTGATTCTCTTCTTAAGAATCTGGATGGTACGAAAAACAAGGCGAAGCTTGGGGCGAACGCCATCTTGGGCGTTAGTATGGCATGTGCCAGAGCAGGTGCAGCCCATTCAGTAGGTCAGAATTAAGATTAATGATCGAACATTATGGCTAATATACGTAGGGGATACCGCTGTACGAGTTTCTGCAACGTGAGTCTGGAGCAAAAAGACCATTCGTGATGCCAGTGCCGTTCTTCAACGTCCTGAATGGAGGTGTGCATTCGGGTAACAAGATGGCTTTCCAAGAAACTATGATTGCTCCTGTTGGAGCGTCCTCTTTCACGGAAGCAGTAAAAATGGGTAGCGAAGTTTACCAGCAGCTGAAGAAGATCATCATTGAGAAGTTTGGACCATCTGGTTAGTGTACCATTTCATAATATCCTATGTAGCCATTACTGATAATTTCAAGCTATCGGTATTGGAGATGAAGGGGGATTTGCACCACCGATTTCCCAGCCTCATGAGGCATTAGACCTTCTGGTTGAAGCCGTCTCTCTTGCTAGATATAGCGGCAGAATTAAATTCGCCATTGACCCTGCATCAAGCGAATTCTTCAGGGACGGAAACTACGATATTGGGCTTAAAGACGACAAACCGAACTTGCACAGCTCAGAGCAGCTTACAGAGCTGTATCGCTCATTGCTGCAAAATTATCCCATCGTTCTACTGGAGGATCCGTTTGCCGAAGCTGATTGGGACAGTTGGACCAAATTCAACAAAGAATGTCCAGTCGAACTGGTTGGGGATGATTTACTGGTCACGAATATGAAATATGTGCAGAAGGCAAATGATAAGAAAGCGTGTAATTCTATGCTGCTCAAAATCAACCAAATAGGCACCATATCGGAAGCGATTGAGGCGTGCGTTTCCCCTCATTTGTCCCCATTTCCTCTTGCGATAGAAACAATCTAATTGTTCATAGGGCGAACTTGGCCTATAGTTTTGACTGGAGTGTTTTCGTATCCCACCGATCTGGTGAGACGACCGATGACTTCATTGCAGATTTGGCAGTGGGCTTGAGGACGGGCCATCTTAAATCTGGGGCACCTTGCCGGGGTGAGAGAGTTGCCAAGTATAACCGGCTCATGGATATCGAGGACCTTTTGGGCGAAAAATGCCTTTATGCCGGTTCCCAATTCAGGGTAGCATACAAGTAGATTGTATTCCGAGATATATCGAAGAAAAATATTTATGTTATTCGATTCAGCTCCAACACCATGGCTTGGGAATCGGGTCGACTCCTTTCTCATCCCCAAACTTCAGTGAAATTCAGATAGGGCTTTGCCTCGAATTCTCACATACACGGGCCACGTTGAGTATTTGGTCCTTAAAACTGGTTCTGAATGTTTTGGAATGTTATAATTTGACAGCCGTTGCCGTCTTGTGTACCAAAACGGCAAGATGTCACAAGCGCTCAACGAATGTTCGAAATTCGGATAGATATTCTCCGTGAGAACCAAAGTCATGGTATAAGCCTCCGATCTTCACCTCCTTTCTGGAAGAATATTGTGCGTGGAAAAGCCCTTGGTAGACTTGATCATTGTCGCGGTAACTAGATGATACCGGGGGAAACAAAATACTACGGGGTCGTTGGGGCCTCTGAATCCCCCAAGACACTCAGCTACTGCCATGGCGAGTAAGAGTATATAATGAATAAGTATGAAAAACACTTAGTATAACGCGAAAAGGAAACGCCCAGCCAAGAACATGCCATGTGTTGGTGAGAATTGCCGAGGTCGGGTTTCTCCGCGTCTGAAGCGGAACCCCATCGACCCCCTTCCCACCCCCGGACTTCACCCAGGAAGTTATGCTTTAACTTAGTTGCATCAAAAAAAACCCAACATGTCCGCTGCGGACAACCCTCCAGTCCCAGGGGATGCGCTGGACCTCCCACCCCACGCCTTGCGTGACGTCCTCCGCGTGTGCCTTAGCGCCAAAGAATACCGATTCCTTCATGAAGCAGTCATTAAACGCGCCCCTGCCGTCCAAAACAAGCTCCCATCTCCATCTCGCTATGATGCTATTGCCCGCTCGAAGAATCGACACAGTGAAGCCGCTATTCGCTCATCGCTGCGAGTCTTCGTGGGCTCCGGAATCGCGTTGAAGTTGGCGGATCTGTTGATTACTCGGTTCCAAGGCGCTCCACAGTAAGATCAATTTAATATACTAAGGAGACGCCTCTTTTAGGACTAAGCACTAACGCCAGCTTTAACTACAGGAAAAAGACCCGAACCCCCCTCCTCCGGTCTCCCAAATTCCGTCTCTCAATCTCCCTATCCCTCCTCCTTCTCATTCATCGCCTCCTCTACCGCTTCCTCATCCGATTACGAGCCAACCTCCGAACTGAAGATGCAAAGCCGTTCAGAGAGCGCAACCCGCGTGTCTCGCGAGCGCTGACCTCGCGTTTTGCGCCAGCGATCGGCGCAAGTCTGGCAGGTTTCGCCTTGGGAATCTGCCCACAGGACCAGCTTCGATTGACTGCGGCGATTTACACAGGCACCAGGAGTTTGGAGTTCTTGTTCAATGCCCTGGACTCTAAAGGCTGGCTGGACAAGCGGCCATGGTGGTTTGGCAGCTGGCTGTTGATGCCCATCTCCTTTGCGCAGCTCTTCCATGCTTTTGTGTTTGATCGCGAGACTACCCCTAATGTTTGTGGTCCGGAATTCTTTTGCTTAAGTCACGGTCGCTGATTTGATGCCATAGTGGTTTGGGAAAGTCATTCTGAGGCTCTCGCCGAGCTACATCCAAGGCCGACCGGAGTCGCTCCCAGTCAACATCGCCTGGCCCGAGAAGGAAGAGATTGTGAATTCTCTTGCCTCTATCGCTGATCTCCGCTGGCCGTATGTTTGAAATTGAGTCTGTTAAAAGAGGATAGCAGTTGTTAATATGACACAGGGCATTCGTTTCTCCAATTCTACACCCGGGCGACCCGAACACATTACCGTCATCAGTGGCTTCCATCTCCCCAATCACTGGACCAGCACACCCTGCAATCGCAAGTCTATCATGCGCTCTCTTACACCCGAACCTCCCGAATTGTAGCACGGCGTTCTTGCATCACATTCTCCTATCTGTGCCGCTACTTGTGCGGTTCCTCACGACCGTCACTCTGGCACTTTCAATCCCCAAACTTAAGAGCATTTTGCTTCAGCCTATTTCATCGGTGAACACTATCTCGAAGCGCATTATCACCATGACAGCAGTTCTCTCTGCCGCAATTGGCTCAGCCTGGGGTAGTGTCTGTCTCCTGAACAACAACTTGCCCCGAACAACGCTTCCTACCAAACGATTCTTCCTTAGTGGAGCATTAGGCGGCCTGCCATTTTTGTTCCTGGGCAACAGCCGTAGCACATTCCTCTGGTTCTTCCGGGCCGCTGTTGATTCGGCGTATAAGACCGGGGTCAAGCGTGGATTATGGAAGGGCCGAAGAAGCGGTGAGCTATTAATGTTTGTTCTATCTTGGGCGCTTATGGGGTCGATCCTCGAGGCGAACCCTGAGGCCGTGCAGGGTGGTGGACTGCGCAAGGCTCTGACCTGGTTGAGGGGGGATGGATTTGCAGATCCGGTGGATATTGCGAAACGCAAATTGCGACGGGAATCGAAGAAACCCGACGGAAGTGAATTGGCAAATTAGTTACTAATTGACTCTTTTTCATGCGGCGAGGTCATATTGTTGGAGTTCGTCGGTGTGGAATTCACTTTCCGACCCCACGTTTGCGGAGATGATCATCGGAGACTGGCCTCCGCATTTAGTGAGCTTTATAATTCCCAGCCCAGTTTCATAATTCTCCATTTATTAGCAATTGATTTTTATTTTCCCTTGAAATTCTTGAAATTCTTTGTCTGCTTGATCTCCTTGACTTTCTACACCTCCTTGACCTCTACAATTTTCACAATGACTGCCCAAAGATTGAAGATTGGCTGTGCCGGTCTAGGCCGTATGGGCAAGCGCCATGCCTTGAACTTCCTGGAGCGCACTCCCCGAGCTGAGCTTGTCGCTGCTAGCTCCCCTGACCCTGTCGAACTCGAATGGGCCAAGGTTCACCTCGAACCCTTTGGCGTACGACTGTACCAGAACTACGACGACATGCTCAAGCATGAAGGTCTAGTTGCCGTAGTGGTTGCATCGGCAACTGCAGTGCATGCCGAGCAGGCAATCAAGGCAATCGAAGCAGACAAGCACGTTCTTTGCGAGAAGCCTATCTCTACAAGTGTCGAAGTGGTAAGTTAGTTGCATTTTGAATCCGTCTCAATCCCAATTAGTCCAGCCTATCAGATCCAAAGAACAAAACATTGGGACAGACAACTGACAATCCACCTATTATACAGTCCCAATCCGTCGTCGATGCAGCAGCCAAGAAGCCACATCTCAAAGTGATGTGCGGCTTCTCCCGACGCTTCGACAAGTCCTACCGAGACGCCTACCAGAAGATGCAGTCAGGAGCAATCGGCACTGCATCTGTTCTCCGCAGCCAAACCTGTGACAAACTCGACCCGAGCGGATTCTTCGTCGTATACGCAGAGTTCTCCGGCGGAATCTTTGTCGACTGCTCCATTCACGACATTGATCTGACGCTCTGGTTCTTTGGCGACGACTGCAAAGTGAAGTCCGTGTCAGCGGTAGGCAACACAGCGGTCGAGCCCGATCTGCGTAAGCACAAGGACCGCGACAACGCCGTCGGTTTGGTCGAGTTCTACGACGGCCGTATTGCATTCTTCTATGCTTCCCGCATGATGGCCGCTGGCCAGGAGGATGTTACAGAGATTATCGGGACAAAGGGAAAGCTGGCGGTGAATACTCAGCCTGCGCTTAACCATGTTAATATCTATGACGAGTCCGGCATCAGGAGGGAGATCCCGCAGAACTACTATGATCGCTTTGAGTATGCGTTTGTTACAGAAGCCAATGAGTTCTCAGCTGCTTGTCTTGATGATACTGCGCTGCCTATTGATCTTAACAATGCTGTCAAGGCCGTGAGAATTGGTGCTGCGCTGCAGGAGTCGATGATTACAGAGAAGAAGATTTTCTTCGATGAGAATGGAAACCGGTCGGAGGTGGCTCATCTGTGAATAATGTGTGATGTGCCTTGGGATTTTGTATAGACCATATATGTTCAATGCTTTCATGAATACCCTTTCAAAATGAGACGATATATGACTTCCAATATGGATGCAATCTTGTATTTTGGTTCAATGTAAACTCATCTAATTTCACATACGGCAATATCGACGAGAAATAATCCAACTTCATTATACGCATGCATGTAGATAAGCGCGCTGTCCTTTGCACATTAATCTGTTAGTGACTCTTACTACAATTTGCAATCAAGCATGTGCCTTTGATTTCTAGCGTATAAAATAGTGCGTTGAAGGGCCATGTCAGGAGAGGTCTACGGAGATGCCTAGGTGCACGGTGAATGTGGGATGATATAGTTGAATAATTGAGAAAGGCAGGAGATATAGACTATGAAGATCTGAAAGCGGATTACTTTCGTTGCTATCAATTTAATTTCTGGATCTGATTGCCTGGAATGATTCCGAGGTTGAAAAGTAGGATTTATAACGCTAATTGAACGTGATGACATGTATCATGGCTATTTTCACAGAATTGGAAAGTCAAAAAAGGGGAATTGTGGAGCAAAGAGTGTAGGATAGAGATGCATGAAGAGCAAGTCGTCTACCACTTCAGGACCTTAGTGGGGAAGTACTCATCGATGAGCTCCATATAATATGGCTAGAAAGGAACAAGTCAGCCTCAAATTCGTATATCATTAGCAGAAATAAAACATACCTTCAACTCCTCAGCACTAGGAATGCCATCACTTTTGCTGTACAAGTCATAAGGATTGAAAGCCTTGACAGCGCGCAGCATATCGCGGTCGTGCTCATTCATCAACTCGTGGTATGCACCGGCGTTGTGCCAAGGATAGAAAGAGTGATAGCGGATCATAGCGAGAGCCTCGTCGGGAAGAGTCGACTGATCCTTAACAAGGTGGTAGAGGTACTCATCGTGTCCCCAGGAGAGCATGACCTTATCGAGACCACAGCCGGGTGAGTAGATACCAAACTTAGTATCGTAAATCTTGTGACCAAAATCTTCGTTATTGCGGAATGAGTCGCGGCCATAAACGATTCTATCGTCGAAGGCACAACCAAC